ATTTTATTATCTTTCTGTTTTTACTTTTTAAATTAACTTTATTGATGGCTGGGCATGGTGGCTCACACCTGTAATCCTAGCACTCAGGGAGGCCCAGGCCAGGTGGATTGCCTGAGCTCACAGGTTAGAGACCAGCCTAAGCAAGAGCAAGACCCCATCTCTAAAAATAGCCAGGCATTGAGGCAGGCACCTATAGTCCCCGCTACTTGGGAGGCTGAGGCAAGAGAATTGCTTCAGCCCAAGAGTTTGAGGTTGCTGTGAGCTAAGACACCTTTGCACTCTAGCAAGGCAACAAAGTAAGACTGTCTCACAAAAAAAAAAAGTATGCATTCTCAGTGCATCTGAAACTTGATATGATTATTTAGAAAGAAATTTGTCAATGTGGGTGCTAAAAATAACCAAGCCAAAAAAAGACTGATTTAAAAAGTAAAATAAATAAATATTTAAAATTGGGGCAGTAATTACCCAAGTATACATATGTATTAAAACTTAATTCTACACTTTGAAAGTGTGCATTTCACCGTAGATACAACTTATACCTTGATAAAGTTGATTTTTTTTTTTTTTTTGAGGCAGTCTCACTCTGTTACCCTCGGTAGAGTGTCATGGCATCATAGCTCACAGCAACCTCAAACTCTTGGACTCAAAGGATCCCCTTGCCTCAGCCTCCCAAGTAGCTAGAACTATAGGTGCCCACCATACTTGACTATTTTTAGTAGAGACAGAATCTTGTTCTTGCTCAGGCTGGTCTCAAACTCCTGAGTTCAAGCAATCCACCTGGCCTGGGCCTCCCTAAGTGCTAGGATTACAGGTGTGAGCCACCATGCCCAGCCATCAACAAAGTTGATTTAAAAAGTAAAAACAGAGGGGCTGGTGCCTGTGGCTCAGTGGGTAGGGTGACGGCCCCATATACCGAGGGTGGCAAGTTCAGACCCAGCCCTGGCCAAACTGCAAAAAAAAATAGCTGGACACCATGGCACTCTACCAAGGGCAATAAAGTAAGACTGTCTCTACAAAAAAAAAAAAAAAA